CCGTTTTAGGTAGGCGTGGTTGACTCTTAACTTTTATAAAGAATATCTCTTTGGATTTGAGACTTTAGTCTTTGCAACTTTACAGATCTTCTCCTATGCACCAAGAGCTTGTAACACTCCAAAGAGTTATCATGTGACCCCATATCATGTATGTCGCATCATATGACCCCTTTAAGTACACTGAAATCTGCATCTTATTCTACTCATGCATTGCTGTCCAAATTAAAGCATTTACTGCATATATGAAATAATACATTGAATTAATCTGTAAATAACATACATTTTAATTAAATATTAATATAAGTATATTAATAATATATTATACACTCACTAATAATATATATTCCAGTATTGTTATTATTTTTCTTTTTCTTTATGAAGTCTTTTTGCTGAATGCATGCTAATTAATTCTGAACTTTGTTGCCCCCTGCTGTCTGTGTTTGTTAAACCCTCTTGTGTTTAGATCTACATGCTACAGCGTTTACCAAAAAAATTCAATTCCTCTAGGTATATTTTCTGTTTTCTCAGATGCCCCATCTGCAGTGATATCAAAATGATCAATGACCATTTGTACTTGTTCTAACAAAGCTGTTAATTTGTTATGCACATTAATGACAATGTCATGTAAAGCTGTGATAACTTTACTTGTCTGATATTGTATTCTCAAGAAGAAAATATCCATCATATTTTGGCAATTTAACCTTAGTCTTGAGAGCTGAACATTGGCAATTGCCTCCAGTCCCCAAATATCTCTCCTCAAAGCAATAACTAGTCTCAAACTTCTATAGAAATGCCAGAGCCTAAAAACAATAAAATACTAATCTTTAGACAGATTACCCATGAGGCCTGTCCATGGCCTAGCTCTAATAAGCACTGAATTCACTTGACTTCACGGCCCTGAGGTGCATGCTATTAGAGATCATTTTTCCAGCTGGCCTGTAATTTCAACTTTGAGATGAGATTTGCATTTTTAATAAGAGGTAAGAGGCCATGAGAGGTTATGAAATAACTGAGTGATTTAGTATAGAATGAGAAGAGGTCCAAGTACAGATCCCAGTGGAACCCCAGAGGATTGTTGGTGTGCAGATTAATTGGATGTTTTCTATCGTACCTGACAGGCTTAGTAATGCAGGAGGAATATGAATTTAAGAGCTCTGCACTTTAGATGCTTATCTCACAGAATAGCATGGTTTATGGTTTCAATTATTAAAGAATTATATTATAGAATAGAAGTACAATCTTTGTGATGTTTGGGAAATGTGTCCTTTAATGGTTTCTTCCTACGGATGTAATGCATTGTGGTAGAATCTGCTACTGCTGGAAAATAGATAGCCATCTCAATCTTAAAATAGCTAATTTATCCGAATTAGAGAAATCAGAAATTATGGGTAAATAAGTGAAAAGATTAAGAAAAAACAAGTGAAAGATTGAGAAAAGACTTTGTGGAGTTAAAGGCTTGATAGAAGTTCTTAGATCTTGCATCTTGTCTAAAACAATTCACAAGCTAAGGACAGACAATAACATAAGCAGAGAATTACTGAAAAAATCATTTTACTTCCTTGTCCAGGAATTAAGCTGACATCTATATCTGGTTACATGAAACCTGTCATACAGCATTACTGTTATGCTTTAGGAAGAATGTATTTGCAGTAAAAGGTGTAACCGAGGTATATAAAGAAACATGTTCCTATGCATGACCAGACCAGCTTCCATCATGAAGATGCTAGTGTGTGCTCTTATTGTGCTGCTTCTCTGCAGTGCCTCAGGTAAGATGAAAGCTTCTCTCTCTCTCTCTCTCTCTCTCTCTCTCTCTCTCTCTCTCTCTCTCTCTCTCTCTCTCTCTCTCTCTCTCTCTCTCTCTCTCTCTCTCTCTCTCTCTCTCTCTCTCTCTCTCTCTCTCTCTCTCTCTCTCTCTCTCTCTCTCTCTCTCTCTCTCTCTCTCTCTCTCTCTCTCTCTCTCTCTCTCTCTCTCTCTCTCTCTCTCTCTCTCTCTCTCTCTCTCTCTCTCTCTCTCTCTCTCTCTCTCTCCTCAAAATATCTATTTAAATAAAAAGGGGTCTAAGGGTTAGAGTTTATTGAATTATACAAATTCACAAATTAATCACTGCAATGCATTTTGTGAAATGGTTCAACTGATTAATTGAAAAGAATAGACTCAAACGAATGGTTTGTTCATGAATTGCACATTGCTATCATGTCTCGGGTCATGATTTCATCACTTCAAAACAATGAGGAAATAATATGTTTTTATGAAATGTAGTGGAGTAACTTGTCAAATATTATGCTTTGGAATGTAGTTAAAAGTTTTCCAAACTGCTCTGATAGAGTGCAGATACTTTCACCATTGCTATCTGTCTGTCTAATATGTAATCTCCCAATAGTGCACTCGCTGACATGCTACACCTGTGTGGATGGGGACTGCAAGACCCCAAACGAATGTCCAGCCTCAAGCAATTTCTGCAAAACAGTTTCAACAGGTAAGCAATCGATATTAACTCAATTTTCAAGTCATTAACATCCAATGTGATTTTACTATCATTGATATACTACCTTATGTTAATATTTAGAATTATATTTTATTTTTTATTTAAATTTGTTAAATGTTTAGTAATTTTTTGTGTTTTTGTAATTTGTATTATTATATTTGAATATCTCTAGTTTTTAGTAAGTTTTAGTTTTTAGTTTATTTAGTTGTAGTTATTCTAGTGCTTCAACTTGGCGAAAATGAAAAGTGTTGCCTTGGCGACTAGCTTAAATACGTTTTTTTTATATATTTTATTTATTCTTAGTTAATGTTTATTTTATTTCAAGTAATAAAAATTGTATGGTTTTAATTTTAGGTTTTGTTAACGATAATAACCTTGGTAACAGCTTCATATTTATTACCCCTCGGTAGGTGAAGGAAAATGTTGTTTCTTCATTAGAGGTCTGTTTTCTACAAGTTTAGATAGGATATTGAGCTGTTTTCTTGTTATGCTCTAAACCGTAGCCACTGTGTTCAGCCGGACATGTGAGGAGTTCTGTGTTCCGGGAGTGAACATCCACTGCTGCACTTCTGATCTTTGTGACTGATCTCTCAACGTCACCAGTCCTGCTGATCGACTGTCCTTGAGTCAGGCACTCATGTTCATTGTAATAGCGTAGCAGGAAAAATATCATTGGGTTACTCTAGGTGTATAATTTTTCTAATGACTTTTTTCCATCTGACTCAACATGGTTTGCTTTACATAACATTACTTAATAAAGGAATGTCTAATAAGCATGGTTTCTGTCCCAGATCGGCATGATTTGATTTATGAATTGAATAAAATCTACTCAGTAAAATGCTGTGAATGTGTGTGTTCAGTATCAAAGGAATGTAGGTCATTCGAGAGAGATGTTATGATGCCATACGTGTCTGGATTAACTGCTGCTTTTAACAGATGAGAAGCCAAACATGCAGTCCAGGCATTAATATCTCTCATGAAAGGCAAGAAAAAAAAATGCATATCAAATGTTGATTAAAGGTGATTTAAAACATAATTACTTGCTTGTTCCAAACAAGCTTAACTCATTAGCATCGATGAGATGCTCTGTACACTTTATCAACCATTCACAAGTTTTAGTTAACAAGTTTATCATTCAGTCCGGGCATTATGAAAAAAGTAACTTTAAATTTAGCACAGATAACTGTTGTGATCCTTATAATATGCATAATAATACTAATTATCATTTTTGAAATGAACATTGCAGTCTTCTATATAAATGCATATATATATATATATATATATATATATATACAATATTATATATATATATATATATATATATATATACAATATTTTAAAAATACCTTCCCTGTACACAAAACATTTGGGCTCCTTCTAATAATCTTAATTCAAACAAGGAAATATGGGTCAGGCATGAATTAATCCGTTTCCATGACTGCAGGGTTTGTTATTAAAGAGATTGAGGATTTTCTTCCTTAAAAAATAACCTGCACACCTTCTTTCACAGAGCGACCGGGACAGCAATTTATCTTATCATGTTCTCTAATGGACAGCAAAAGATTAAGAGCCAGAGGCCTCAGTGTTTTAAATTGACATGGCATTTTTGTCAATTTACAAGTTCCAAGAAATGAGCAAGTGAATGAGCAGTCGTTTCTGAGAATCTGAGCTCTTTCTCTGATTAAGGGAGAGTGAGATTTCCAAGATTTGTCAAGAAAGAGAAAGAAAAGGGGGGAACAGGACACATAACAGTGATGGATTGAACTTTAACTGAACTGAAACTGTAGAAAAAGGCCTTGTCATCTTGGAGTGGCCACGATCAAAGTGAATTCCATTTTGCAACCTATTTTAGTTCTGCAATTTGAGTGAAACTTGATACTTAATGAGGAAAAAATGTTGGATGGGGCTTAATTGTATCTATTTCAAGCTGATTGGACAGTGAAATGTGGGTATCACCCACCAAAAAAAAAGATGTTAAAATTATACCTAAATACCTATTTTGCAATAAATGTTGTCAGCAAAAACGGAAAGTCATTTAAGAGGAAGACACATTTTATTCATATTATAAAGATTGCAATATATATATACAAACACACACACATATATATATATATATATATATATATATATATATATATGCATTTGTAAATATACAGAACTTATCTTTAAATTTACGAGAGCACATTAATAATTTGAGTGCATTAGTCATGCTAGTGCCAGACCAGCCATCACCTCAAACTGCCCTTTTCACTGCAACATAAAGGAAACGAACAGATTGCATAATTGGGCAAACTTCCAAAAATCAAAACAAGCAGATTATCGCTGAAGCAAATCAAATGTCTGATGACCTTCACATTCATCTGCGTGCACAGTCAGAGAGAAACCATGAACACCTTGATTTCATATTGGCCCATTTTCTGCACCAGCTTAGACATTCTTGAACCAGATTCACCTCCTGTCCTGAGGTCTGAAACGCTATGTAGTGCACCACAATCCCCTGGACCTATTTTTTAAGACAATTCCAGATATAAGCGACTTAAGGACTGTTGACAAGACATCACATGCACTTTGGCTAAGAAACACTCGCTGTGCTAGCAGGTAGTGTCACATGCCAAGGCAGCGCATCCTCAGCTGGGCAGATTTCCTCTAGCTGAGAATGGAAGAAAAAAGCTTTTCACAAGTGAATACAGTTCTTATTACAAAATGTCAATCCACACTCCTCGAAGTTATAGAATGTAAAAAGTGAAACTGCACTTAAGGGGAAATTTCTGTGTGACCTGAGCTTTACAATTATCTTGATGGTGTAACCTTATGTAGTGAGGATGATTCGGTCATATTAAATAACATTTTTGAGCTAGGTTAGTTCAGTTGGTTCCACATGAAGTATATTTTTAGTTTTACAGTGCAGTCAAGCTTTTTGAAGGTACTTGAATGATGAATTCTCCTAAGGGCAGTGCATTAATGTCACCTTCATTTCCCTTTCCTTGTGGATGGATTCAGAACATGGTGTTTGGTTAATAAAATATTTCTCACTACCATATTTAAGTATATTTCTATGTCACCAGGTGTGCAGGTGTTCAGTTCCTATATAACCTGTTTGTTTTCAGTCTACAATTAATGAAATTAAAGTTACTTTTTAGAGAATTTATGGCTAAATAAAATATTTTTACAAAATATTCTATACTAAAAATACTATATATATATATATA